GTCTTCAGGATCACCAGTGACTCCACCCACCCCGCACATAAACTGATCAGGATGCTGAGTCTTCAGGATCACCAGTGACTCCACCCACCCCGCACATAAACTGATCAGGATGCTGAGTCTTCAGGATCACCAGTGACTCCACCCACCCTGCACATAAACTGATCAGGATGCTTGGCCCTCAGGATCACCAGTGACTCCACCCACCCCGCAGATAAACTGATCAGGATGCTTGGCCCTCAGGATCACCTGGGACTCCACCCACCTCATGTAACCTGGTTAAATTTTGCAATTAGATTGTAAATTGTAAAATACATGTAAAATGTAAAATAAGATATAATAGATATAGATAGATATAATAATAAGCATGAATCTAAATAGAAAACACTACCTTCTCTGTTTTAACGGTTGACCTTCAGAGGACAGGTTAGGTGGTTTGATGAACGCAATGAGTGTATGCTTTGTAAAATTCATTGGTTGTTCAGGATTTTTTTTCTTTTGCGCCGTTTGACTGAAAAAGAAAGAAAGAAAAGATGCCGAGCCAGTCGGAGACTCTTGTGCGTGCAGTCTTAGGGAGAGCAAGTAATGGCGGAGTTCCGAACCTGTCAAGATCTGGTTGGGGTGTCAGCATCTTTTGCCATTTGCTTGAACTGCGTACAGCAGGACTTAGAATTCTCTTCTTTCTTTTTCAACGGACTAGTTGTTCATATGGACTGAGACTGAAGAAAATTTCACGGACAGTATGGTTTTGGGGGAAATGAGATGTGTATATGAATATGTTTTCTTTTATAATTAATATAAATAGTTACCCAGGGTGCACCTAAATAGACTATTATAGCTTAAATATTTGCTTGTGATTTTTTTTAATGGTATATATTGCGTAATGATCTGGATAAGTTTCCTTGCATTTCTTATTCATTCTGCTGCTCTTTTGACAACCCACTAAATATCTTGTATAATTAATATTGTTATACATTTTGTTGTGTAAACAAAAGCCAGATGTGCGGATATTTATTTAGCCGTTTATACCTAGGTGTCAAACCTAGGTGTAACTTTTAGGGTAATCTACCTGCCACGTTATTTGGCGAGCCAGACAGAAGGTGTAAATTAGGCGTTTTGTTTACATTAAATTGATTATGTTAAAGTTACATTGGGGAATACTTTGTCTTTTGAATATTTGAAATATATTTTGTTATTGAATTACAACAGGCTGCACAAAATGGAAGTAGTTAAGAGGGAAAGTACCCAATGTCCAATTGGACGTATTAGTTCTGTGAAGTTTCTGATCTATTGAAACACCATGGTTCTACAGGTAAGATAATTCCCATTGACGATCCTGCATCCAGATTTCATAACCACTCTATTGTAGAATACCAGTATGGATCTGCAGTGGAATCAATCAGGCCCTTACTGCCTTTTAACTATCCAGTTAAAAGCAATCCACCCCTTACATATCTTATACGAGCCCTGGACACTTTATTCTTCTGAGGAATGTACTGATGCCACAAGTTCCTATCTTGACACACTGCTAAACAAAGTGGTAGGTCATTCAGTGATATACTACCTGAAGA